TCACATCTTAGAACGCCACCACATTGCGCTCATTAAGGCATGGGAAAAACCATGCCTCAAACAAGCACTTCGCTTCTATCTATGGAGTGGAGCGTAGAGAGAAGCGCTTGGTTGAGATCATAGTTGCAAGCTCAAAGTGCCCTTCAAGCAAGAGCCTAGTTAAAAACACTGGGCGTGCAAACATGGAGAGAAAAGAAAAGACACCACAAATGGCGTTGGTTTTCTTTTCTCGTCATGTGCTGGCCATGCTGCGGCTGCCGGCTGTGTAGTAGTACGCAGCGGTCGTTGTTGTCATCGTCTTTAAAAAGTGTCGGCGCTCGATATTTTCGCACGCAGCTTTTCTTGACAGGTGAATGCTGAAGTGGTAGTAGAAATGCTTTGCGAGCTGCGTGCAAAATTGGTTGACTCACTGCGAGACAAACGTATGCAGACGTGCATCACCGATTACTTCAATTAATAACAGATGTCCTGTGATTTGTGAATACAGTGAAACCTCGTTAAACTGCAGTTGGCTGGAGCTCGTAACGGAGCTCGGAAAAAGTACGTACTAAACGGTAGTACAGCTTAACCGAAATAGCGTCAGGTCGCTCACTTACCTGTAAAAAAAAGAAACCTTCAGGTAGTGCGATGAAAGAACAAAAAACGTGCAGTAATTTATTAACTTCGCGTGACAAAGTCTGTAATCTTCATTTGACGACTCGGCGGCCTAGGCGCAATGACAGGGCCCTCAAACTCACTTTACGCTGATTGAGCCAGCTTTCGCCGGCCCCTCTTCTCGCAAATACCCGCATGAAGCTTGACGCCAATGCCGCAGCTTCGGTCACTGTCGGACCTGGATTCCCGTGTGTTGTCGCTTTCCATGTCATCCTCATCACTATTATTTGGCGACACTGTCGGAGGCTATCTGCGAGGCAACAATGGCTTCGTCGGGACATGTCTGGAGATGTCCTGCACATCGCTGGTGCGTCTCTGAATTTCGAGGAAGATAACTGCCTTCCGTAACGTCCTGCCGCTTCAGCACTTCAGCTAAGCAGGTAGTTTTGCCAAGCTTCCGTCTACGATGTTTGAAGTCTGGTCGATGTGTCACTGATGTCTCTGCGTCGCCCACACACACACTGAAACAGCACGCTTGACGCAATTTCGAACTGTCGTTGCTTCAACCTGCCTCCACGAGTATTCAAGCAGGTGAATCGCGCCAATGAGGTCGATGAAGAATAATTTGCCACATTCAATGGCGAGAAAAAATCTGCACAGCAGATTCTTCTCGTAGAGCTGTACAGCACGGATCAACCAGAGAACATCTATGCACAGCGCCAAAGGAACAAAGAAAGCAAAGCAAGCGCACACCGTTTTTTGTGTGTTTGTGCAAAGCGCCATCGCGTGGACAACACCAGAGCCTAGCTGACCGAGTGCTTCTTTGTTCAGAAAAATCCAAGAGATGGCGCTCACCAACACAGCCACCATCATCATCAACACAAACAAGCGAGGCGTGTTTCGATCTCTGTGGCTTGCTGTTCTGTCGGGACGCCCAGTGGGGGACGACATGCGCGGCGAGTGCGCAACAAAAGTTGGAAAAACTACTATTAACTGATACATACCCGATAAGCTGGTACGGCTTATGCGGATACAAATGCATTATGTTCAATGGCCACCGAGTCGGGGATTTGACTTCACTACTTTTAAACGAAACTACTGTTTACGCGGGTACGGTTTAAGGAGGTTTCACTGTAATATAAGTCTCCTTAAATTTCCCCCTCATGTGTTATCTCAATGCACATGTGCCACTGCATGGAGAGCCCTCCGTTTATTTCACTTTCATTAATTCGAGTTTTTTTAATTCAAACTAATTTTTGGGTCCCTTCGAGTTCAAATTATCGAGATTTGACTGTATTTTGTCTTTTAATTCTTTATTTGTAACAATCAAGTGTAAAGGGCTAGCCATCACCAAGTAACGGTGACAGGAGCTCCTTTATTATTTTTTATTTCAATAAAAAAATTAAGCTGGGGACAGTCAGGTAACAAAGCCACACTGAACCATATTTACAGGGTCAGCCTGAGATGGACGCTTTTACGTCTGTTACTCGAGGTTGAACTACACCCGATCAGGTGAAGCATTGTAGCAATAACAACGGGGCACACAAGTTGCACGAAATGCTTGGCGAGATACCTATTGAAAGGTATTTTTAAGGCTACAAGATTTATCAGATAATCAGATAATTTAGCTAGAAAAGAAGCACTGAGTATAATATCTAAAAGGCAAAAGCTCAGTCAAATCTCTGTCAGAAATAAGAAAGGTTTCATCCCTGAAAGCCTTTTAGTGGCAGAGACATATTTCCACATCAAATGACCCACATAACATGACTGCATCACATGATCCAGTAACTTGAAGCTGTTCGATATATAGAAATGAAAAAAAAGGCAGAAATTTGAAGAAGGTAAAAGCTTGAAGGGCACACAGTCGCTAAGCATCTACGGTAAGCCTTGACAGGAAGCAAACTAAAAATTGATACTTTATTTTTTATAAGCCCAATATAGTAAGTAGGCTACAATGCATTTATCATGTTACTTTTCTAGCTTTTCTTATTTTGATTACTTACCGAACATACTGATTGTGTCCTTTAATTGTATGGTTCTTATTTCGCTATTAGCGTATGTGAAAAGAAAACTCATGTAAGGTTAGGCAACGTCTTATGTCTTGGTGGTAAGTTGTCTGTTCCTACACTACTTTGTGTGGGCATTTATATTTAGATGTGCCTAGAAAAACACGGCAATTTCGGAATTTAATTGCTGTGTCGCCAACAAGATGTGAGCGCAAAACTGTGTGCTCATTATTAGGGATAGTAGTTAAATTGACAATCTTTCTGGAGTGAAGGCTTTGACAAGGAGCCTTGATTTGCATACTCATAGTGATTGTGTAAGGAAATGTTTCTTCTTCCTTTGGGGTTAATTACCTTAGTATGTTAGAAAATCTGAGCACCCGTAGCTTACTTGTGTTCAGCATTATGTAACATTCGTGCGCAGTTCTGACAGGCCAGCTTAATCGTTATAAAGTGGCAGAGTATTTTAGACTAGGGAAGTGTGGTACAGTGCGGAGTATTTCAAGTTGATTTGACTGCTCGTATGCAACATGAATGTTCACATAAACATTAATAAAACAATGGAACCAGTGATTGATATGTGAGGTTTAAGTGATTGATATGTGAGGTTAATAGTTCCAAAACCACTTGATTAAGAGAGACGATATAGTGGAGGGCTCCGGAAATTTGGCTGCCTGGTGTGCTTCAACGTGCACCCAAATTTAAGCCTACAGGCCTGCAGCATTTTCGCCTCCATCGAAAATGCAGCTGCCGCAGCTTCGATTCGCACCCGCTACCTGCAGGTTTGAATCTGGGCTCGGGGGCAACGGTTCAGGGGCAACGATGAAAGCCATACTACGCTCGACATGAAAATTGCAAACAATACCTTAAACCAGGTGTTTTCTAACATTCCGGTTTGGGGAACCCCATCGGCTTTTACCAGAGTGCCGCGGAGCCCCTAAAGTTTTTTGAGCATGAAGACAATCCAAAGCAAAGAGAGGGCGGGGGCATCAACGCCTTTCGGCACGCACAACCGCAATCGCAGCGCCCGTTTCAACCTGTTTTTTTCTTTCTTGATATCGCGGTCCACTTCCGTTTATCTAGAACTCCCGATAATATATAAAATAGCAATTTCCATGTGAGTCAATTAAGGTGCCCCCCGACCCTAGATAAAAATTATTGTGGAGTTATCATGTCCCAAAACCACGATATGATTATGGGAGAAGCCGTAGAGGAGCGTTCGGGAGACGTTAAAGACCTCGTGTTCCTGAACGTGCACCGACGTCGCACAGTACATCCCTATCAGTTCATCTCAATCGAAATGTGACTGCCACAGCCGAGATCGAGCCCGTGACCTTCAGGTCAGCAGACGAGCACTGTATTGATGTGGACGCCAACACAGCACGTTTCAGATGCCACGGAGCGTGAGCAATGGGTTTGACGTGGCATATATATACAGAGACCTGTATATATATGGATATACAAAGACCTCTTTTTTTTTTGCCAAAAAAAAAATGAGACATGCCAGTAGCACAGCGAAACGACCATTGACCGGTACATCAGTCGTAAATCTATAAGCCTAAATACCAGTCAGCTGGCCCGAAGCAAAGCTTTTTATGGGTATCAAAGGGCTGTTTTCTTGTTTGGGATATGAAACCAGCACAGAAAAGTGGAAAATCACCAAGTATAAAAACAGTGCCATGTGATCACCGACTCACACCATAATCCACAAATAAAGCACCGAGGTGCCCGTCAGTGTAGTTTGAACTAAAACTCGGCTCACGAGTATGGAATTATTAGCGCTCCATGCGTTCAGTCACCACGGTTTCCCAAATCTTGCAAGTGTCACAGTGCCCACTAAACACGATGAGTTGTTACTGCTGCTACCACGTGGCTCTCTCATTACCCGCTGGCGCCCAACCTGTAGATGCGGCGCAGGATGGCTTAGCCAGTGAAACAAAATGCATGGAAGATTTGCTTGTCTACACAAATAAATTAATTACTATTGGGGCTAACACGAAAAGGCTACCTTCAATCTGACCGCTCGTGGAACCTTAAGATCACCTGAAGTAAGGCACTAAGCTGAGCTAGGTGGTTTACATTCACTTTTAAATGCTTATTAGTGCACTTTTTACCCGGACGAACACAGATGTAAGACGGGACGCGCGCAGCATTCTTGTTTAATACCACAGTTATATACCTTTACGAATCACTGCATCCTCACGAAGTGAGAACTGATGATGAAGCGAAGCAGGGTCCTAAAGTCCATAATGTCTACGTTGATATCACCGACTGGATGGACAGATGAACGTACAGACAATAGTCATAAAATCGCTTCCTGACAATGACTGATGAGGGTTGTCAGTGTGCATATACTGCACTGAATGCAGCCTGCTAATTTTAAACTAATAAGTAAACGTAAGTTTACTTGAACATGACCACAGCATAAAGAACTAACCTCCCATCGTCACCTTTAACATGCTGTTTGATGAAGTTAAGCGCATCATCCAGGAACTGCATGCACACATCTTCTGACCACAGTCCCTGCGACAGAAAAAGAAGTAACAGCAAAATTCTATAAAACATCTCGAAAACAAAGCACCACTACTTGTTCATTAAGCGAAAAACAAGAATGAAGAAGCCACACTTTTGCAATTGTGTAGGCAAATTGTTTTAGTTGCTAGCATTAAATACCCTAATTATTAGAAATCATTCCGCCGTCAGTACATGGCATTCAAAAGGTACAGTTATGACAAGCTCAGGCTAACGTAATGTATATAACAGTAGCAGAATATTCTTTGACTTCTTATAAAGCAAAAAGAAAACACACCTGGAAAAAACGATGGCTCCGAATAAGCCACGGTAAGCAAAACGCATATTGCATGGCAAGAGGTGTATGCATTGTTGTTTGTTTTGCTTTCCTGCTGACGGACAGCACAAAGGAGCAAAAAAAAAACAGAAATCGAGAGTTAACCGAAAGAATTTGTATGTGTGTTTAGGACACCTCATTTACGACATCACCTTGGGAGATGTATACCATAAAACTATTTCTATTTTTCCCGTTTCGTGCTTATCATTTTACCATCTAGTTCAGTTAACCTTACAAAGTATGTGCATACTGATAAGTCGGTGCCATTTAGTTTACTGATTTAAACGAGAAAATGGCATCGTTCATGGACGCAGAATGCACACTGGCATCCGTGTGCCTAAAACTGACAAAGTAGTAAGCAGAGTCTAATAAGCCTCAAAGCAAGAAAAATTCGGCAGTGTTATCACAGGTCGGCAGGCGCACTCTTGGGTCAACTGAATGAAAACATTTCGAATTGTGCTGTTTCTTTAAGGGGCGAAACTCCTTAAGGCGTGGGTCGTGCCTTTCCTCTATGTAGTAGCCACCTCTCGTTTTAATTCTTGGAATGTCTGCCAGATGGCGGTACTTGTATATGATGAATATAAGATGAAAATATGCGAAATGGTGGTACTTGGGGTGTTCACTAGATGGATGAATGAACAGACATACAGAAAGATGGATGTGCAGACAGACAGGTGGCAGAACAGACAAGCAGACAAAAAGACAGACAGATGCATAAATGCTGCCAGCAAATGATTCACGGTTTACCAATAAAACCTTTGAAACCTTCGCCCCACACATCATCATTCAATCTGTAGATATGCTGTGCTTTTTTCCACTTAGACTAAGGTTTGAACTGCGATTGTGAGTGATTTCATACGAATAATATTTTTCTGAATCAGTCTGAGTGAGCCTGGTTGAGTAAAGTTTCGGATCGAATTGAGCACTATTGTATTAAATATATTTTGAGAGTGAGTCCAAGGAATGTCCCCTTTGCTTGCCAACCTATGAGTGTTACACTCTTTTACTATAACAGAAAAAGGTAAAGATGCACGTTACACTCTTTTACTATAACAGAAAAAGGTAAAGATGCACGTTACACTCTTTTACTATAACAGAAAAAGGTAAAGATGCACATCGATAATCCATAAGCACAAAACTGGCAAGCCCGTTCTCCTGCGTGGCGGCATCTTTGTGGGGGCAGCATGGCCTGCGCACGTAGATGCTTCGCTACGCTCTGCTGCAGCTGTTTCACACTCATTTTCTAGGTGTGTCTTGCAAATTCGGAGGTGCATGCAAGTCTCGTTAAAAGTAGAGCCAACATTTCTACTTAGGTATGAAGTCTTCAAATTTCAATTTCTGTAAGGCACGGTAATGCAATGCTAAGATAATTACTTATAGCGTGCTAGAACACAGGACTGCTACAAGTCGCTGAGTTCTTCACGGCCAAGAGCTTCCGACAAAGATGCACGGCCCGAACAAAAAGTACTGGTAACACGGGTATATTTGTCAGTCATATTTATTGTTGGTTACTGTACCAATTGCTGGCTAAGGTGCGCTGGAAGTCGATTCCTCGCCATTTAAAATAAACACTAGCTATGGTTTTTTTTTCCGCGAAGGTGAATATTCGCCTAACTACTAACAGCGGTGGAGCCACGTTTGAGGGGAGGCCATTTAAAATAAACACAAAAAGACGCTGCCCCTCTCTTCGAGAAAAAATTTTGAAACGAAGTGCTCATTGTGATAGGAAGTGCCCAAAGTGATAGAGCAAGGTAACAAACCATGCTGTGCCAGTTTAAATTGTTGTAATCGCTCACTTACTCATCGACTTAACAAGAGTGGTGTAGCAAGCATATGCAGTCATGTAGAGACTTTTCGAGATGCCAGAGGAAAGTCGTCAATTTCAAGATTGCAATCTCGTAGAGGCATACATAATTTCAGTTTCGGCATGTTTTGAAGGTTTAGTGTACACAAGGCATGCCTTACTACCAGCTCTTCATGCAGCGATGATTAAACCAAAGAGAACTCAGCCAATAGAAAAACAAATCTTCAATTCAAGAAATCAGGCAACAATGTTACTGGTTATGATGGGGTTGAATGGAAGTGCTATGTAGTTTGTAGAAATTCTTGGTAGAAATTGACGCCTGCAGGTCAAGAAACTTGAGCTGTTTATAAACTGGCAATGCTTTTACAGTTTTTATTATTTATTTTGAGTGCTGCCAATGCACCGCAAATGTGCTAAAAAATGGCCTGCTCTTTAATGACAGCATTTCTTAACAAGCGTGGTAGAAGTTTCTCAAGCACGGAGGCTAAGCAATGCTTGCAGAAATACACAACTGAAGCGATATTGACTTACCTTGGCCTTGTCTGGCAGTGTGCTCACATCAAACTCCTGGACGTGCCTGACAATGCCATCGTCATCTCGAAAACCACACAATCCTTTTGGTACGCCTCCAAGACGCGACTTGGCCCACCAGGAGAGCAGCTTGTGCCTACAAAACAAGGACAAATGTAAACAGTCAAGTTTATTGACGGTTACATGTACTATTTATTTCTCACAGTACACAGGCTAATATATATGTTAACTAAACAAAACGTCCCCAGTACTGAAATTAAGGATTCACTGCCAAACTACAACTACCCGAATACGAACTCGATTTGATCGATAATGGCGGAATGTTTATCGATTACATGCAGTTTCATCACATGATGCACAAAAAGTGCTTGGGGAAGTGGAAGGTAGGTCAGAGGTCGACATCAAGCATTCTTTAGTTTATCACATCAAGTAGAATCTCCCGCATCTTCCCCACAAAATAGCATTACGTATTTATTTATTTCTCACACTCTATAGATGTAGTACTAGTACCTGCCAGAATTAATTAGCTTTCCTCTATATGCTGGTATTTCTCCCAGTTTCTGGTAACACATAGCAACCTGAGACCTATGAAACGCGCTCGTGAAATCATAGGTGTGCACTAGTGTTAGTGTATTTGAGTTTGTGACTGAGCTCGTTATGGCCCCCACACATATCAATTTCCGTCCTTTTTGTTTAGTAATGAACTACACCACAACAATGATAATGGCAAAAGACCCTATTCTTTTGGTCTACAATGCCTGGTGGTAGCACTGGTGCATCGTCCTTCGTGTTCTCTGGTGTACTCATCGCGTGAGCCTTTAGCTTTGTTGCGCTGCCGAGTAGTATCTCGAAAGAAACACGTAGAAAATCACAAAATTGAGACCTGCTGTGTCAGATCCGAGCTGCTTATATGAAAACTGTCTTTTTCGATGTAGTCACTCAAATATTTTTTAATAAATACCATGACAGTAAATTTAACCTTTTTTTAGAAAACTCATGCTATATTATTTCAGCAACGTAAATCTTAGTACAAACATGAACTATGGAGTTCGTGCATTTTATTTTTTTAAACACACCTTCTGAATATTTGAAAGAAAAATACGAGATTAGTCCTTTGCCACTTCTGTTTGAGGGACAATGAAGAGTGTCACTCGCAGTTCCTGCTGCTACTAAATGAGAGTGACGCGCAGTCATATTTACAGAATTGGAAGTCACGTTCGCTTTTGCAGAAGAACAGGTGTATTCTCATGAGTCAACAGTCGAAAAAACACGTCTTACGGCATTCAGCAGCACTATCATGCTCGCACAGTTCTTTGATTCATGCCATCTACGTCAGCATAATATTTCTAATCAAAGTGGACGATTAGGTCAGTTGGTGATCCATGATTGGTGGATATTGCCAAGTAGAGCACACAGACAAATAACAGATGGGGACATGCGCAGACCATCAACCTAAGGCTTATTTTTCGCATACTACATATACGAGGTGGAAACGGTAAGAGCAAAAGAAAAACAAGAACAGTTAACCATTACCAAACAACAAGGACTATACACCCGAGAAACAACCCAGGTGAAAATTTCCAGCTGGCTTTCTGCTGGGAGCTGCTGGTTTCTGGTGGAACCTGCAACTAACCAGCTGGTTTCATGCTGGTTGTATTGGTTCCAGCAGTGGTTGTGTTGGTTCCACCTACCTAATACAAATTCTGCACAATAGAAAAGTCATGTTATTTATTTATAGGTAAAAGCTTATGAATAATAGTCCTATATAAGGTTTAATTTATCATGACGCCTTAGCTCCGTAGTTTAGCACAGAACACACGTTGCGCCTTTGTCGTGACTTGTCTGTCTTTGCATTTGTGTGTTTGATGTGTTAGTTGCAAGTTTGCTCTCGAATCTGTGTGATATTAACACGTAATAGTTTATTCTTGGGTCAGTTTTACCTGTAGAAAGTGTAACAAGTGAATACCAGCCTACTTGAGCTATTCTCGGTGCTGTGCAATATGGTGTCTTGATTTCGTGAGTGCAGATTGAGGCCCAGCGTGTTTATCAGCCCTCCATCTTCTATGCAAGTAAGTTGTGTTATTATTTCAAATATAAGTAAAGCGTGCATATCCCAAATGTTCTTGAGCTTTATTAAGCTCACTGTCATTGTACATTGGTGTTTGCAATGTTGATGAATGCGTGTATGCATGTCGGTTGGTGTAAGCCATGTTTCTTTGTCTCCGTGTAAGGATCTATTAAGAAAGTTCTTAATTTTAGTTTGCTGAGTAAACTAATGGGGTTGTAGAGATGTAAAAGTTAATTCGCTTGATATGTATATCCTCACGCGCACTGCTTTCCGCGGTGTTAAGTAGTATTTTTTAAATATTGATATCTGCACTTGCGATCTGCATGGAGAACAAAATTTTTTATTTTGTTAAAGATTGCCTTCATCATTTGGCTGCCCTTCACAACACAGACATCTGGGGTGTGGATCAAGGTCCCTTTTTGGATTTCCACCCAGAACGATTCAAAACATGGAGCATGAGCCAAAGCTGGCAGATAACCCTTTTGTAGTTTACATTTTTTGGAAATAAAGATAATTGATCAACGATTGTATGTTATGTGCATATTTAACGCACTTTTGAAAAACAGCACCTTCAGAACTACATGATCTTGGGGGGAACCAACTTATTATACTCATTGGTACCACTGTAACTCGTATTATTAACGCGTATTGCTAAGTATTACAAAAATGGAAAGCGACGATTGTTCAGCTGTGATGGTTACTAACTTCCAGTTAGAAACAGGTCAGATTTAGCTGGTCTAATTGAGCTGTAATAAAGCTTGCAGCTGATAGTATAGAGCTCGAATTAGGCTTATTGCCAGCTTTGCCTGCTCAGCTCCACGTCTGCGAGTTACAAGTTGGCCGTCTGCCTGCAGAACTGTGTTGCAAACACCAGCTAGTGGTTCCATCAGCTGCTGGTTCCATCACCTACTGGGAATGCACTAATAAACCAGCACTGCTGGATTCAATAGCCAACCATAAGGAAATTTTCACCTGGGAAGGCAGACGATTAGATTCATTGGTCATGCGCACCATTTTCCAGCCAACTTTTCATTTTTCCTTTTCTCGTTTCAGTTATATGTATGTGGTATATATATGTGAAAATTAAGTGTTCAGTTGACAGACTGCGCCTCTCCCCGTCTGCTTGTCGTCCGTGTTCTCTACCCCAAAGTATACACTGATCATGACTCATGTCTACTCGCGTCGAATGAAAGCTACTGCTATTAACAAGCTAAAGCGGAGTTGACGCTATCTATCTGTCTGTCTGTCTGTCTGTCTGTCTGTCTGTCTGTCTGTCTGTCTGTCTGTCTGTCTGTCTGTCTGTATGTCTATTCGTCCATCCATCCCTCTGTCTGTCTGTCTGTCTGTCTGTCTGTCTGTCTGTCTGTCTGTCTGTCCATCTGTCTGTCTTTCTGTCCATTCATCCGTCTGTTTGTCTGAAGGTGCCTATGTTGGAGCCCATCCTGAAAAACGATAAAGGTGAAAAAAAATTATGTCACGTTCGGAGCTCTCTGAAGGCGAAACCGATAAAAACAATAAGAGCAAACTTAACAGCAAAAGTTGCAAACTATTCGATATGAACCAACTCCCATGCAGAAAATGTGTTATTTTATGAAATTCAAGCTAATTTGAAGTATTCTGCTTTTGTTTCCACGTATATTCATAATGTTATTTCATAATAGAGTGAAACGCGAGTTGGTTTACAAAAGCTGGAGATGCTAACAGCTACTGCAACCTGACAACTTTTAAAAAGAGCTGACAGGTTTAGAACAGTGTGGAGTGGACAAGCACTTATATTTAAAGAATCCCAAATACATTAGTGCCTGTTGTAAAGGCATATATTTCAACCACTTCTTGCAGAGCCAGTGTCCATCTTTAGTTTTATCTTCGCACCAAGTTTCACAAGCGGATAGTAATAATAATAGGTTGTCACAGTGATAGAAGTGACATTTTGCTTTTTGGAGCAGGTTCTGGAGGAAAAAAGGGTGCTTTGAATCAGGCTCAAGTGTCTTAGCAGCAGAAAAAAATGCTACAGCTTAGGGTGGCTATTGGTAATTTCAGAGCAGATGCATGCTCCTAATGACTCATCAATTCAGTGTTTATAGCATCAATTCAATGCTTCTGCTGCTTACCTGTGTTAACTGCCCTTCAGCTGTGTGAACGGCTGTGTGACCCCATGCCTGTTTTTTAAGTTTTGTTTGAAAGCCCGATTTAATTTTTATATAAATAAATATACAACCAATATTAAAAATACGAATTGGACACCATGGCCTGATATGTCTCACACCTTCAGATTTTGCTCGATTTACGCCACTGAGTAGCTTACTGGGATGATATTGTATACAGCTTCCTTTCCGCTTCGCTTAGGCTCATACGATGGCCCCTTGTTTCAACTGCATTCTCTTTAGTTTGCCAACACCATTTCGGAGCAGGTTTGGAGCAGTTACTAGCAAATATTGCACTTTGAAGCAGCTTGGAGCACCACTTCCATCACTGCAGTTAAAGTTTAGAGGGCTTAGCGGAATAGCGTGATCTAAATGCACATGTGTCATACGCTAAATGACACGTAGCCTTAAGGGTGCGCCCACTATCTTTCAGATAAAGCATTACAAACTTTTGTTGCTTGACGTCGTACAGGACAATGGTTTCGAGTGCCCCTCAAGTAACCAGGAATATCCAGTAGGCAGACAACGGGACATACGTTTCGAATATTCCAGACATCCATCAGATGTCCACGATTGTACACAGTAAGTATGATGGACATACATCAGATGTACAACGGTAACGAACTTGTACGTTCACTCGTCATCCTTCTAGGATGGCCAACACAGACGTTGGCCGGCCGTTCAAGAATATATATATAAATATACCCACATCAATGCCATATCACTGTGGGATGTTCGTGTATAGTGACACTACATTTATTCTCGCAAAGATATTATCGTTAGGAACGTCGAGTCCGGTGATTTCACAGAGAAAGTGGTTAGTGTCCAAGCATCGCAAGCTAGAGTGGAATGGGGTTACTGCGACAATTACTACACATGCACTTATACCGGCGACACCAATAGATATTAACCGGGATGTGGAAA